CGCGTGGGCACCGGAAGTGCCGCTGCCCGGCCCCGCCCCACCGCGCCCCGGGGGGGCACTTCCGGTCACGCGGGGCCTAACGCGGCGGAGGGGGCGTGCGTAGAAAGCCAGGGAGCACCCCTGGGGTGAGGGACCCTTCTGCCCTGGATCGCGGCGCCTCTTTGCGTACTCCTAGACCCCAAACCTGCCGCTGGACTCCCCGATCCCTGCACCCCCCAGACTTCGGCTCCATCCCTAGAAATTGGCCTCAGCCACCCCCATTCCTGGAGAATACCCCCCAGACCCTAGTGCCAATCCCCGCCCTGTCCAGACCCGACAGCCTGCCCCCATTCTTGGAAACCCTGTCTTCCTGTTAGAGACCCCAAAACCCGACCACCGCCTCCTGTCCCCCCCAAAACGGGTGGCCCTCCATCCCTGGAGATACCCGGAGAACCGTTAATTCCAAGTGCCGGTAACTCCCAAATCATCAGGGCTTCCTCATTCAGCCGGATTCAGATCCGGACAGCTCCTACTGAGGGCCAGGCCAGCGCAAGGCCAAGCCTGCAGGGCCTCGGGACCATTGTCAGGCCACACGTTGGTGAAGTAGGTGATGACCCAAGTGGGCTGTGACAACTGAATGAAACACAGCTAGAGCCTGTGGGGCAGACTTCTGGCCAGCTATGATCATGCCTGGGAGGCCTCCCACGGGGAAGGGGAGATGAACCAAGCAGGGAAGGCCGGAGTGATGGGTGGCCTTGGGGACTGAGGGAAGTTGGGGTGGGGGACTCAGAGACCTGCAGCTCTCCCAAGACCTGTCTGCCTCCACCCCCATAAAGGAATGGATGGGAGTCCCTTAGCAGTCGACTGAAGCCCTAAGGAGCCTTGTGGTCCCATGCCCTCCCGGCTCCCACTCCTTATACCATTGGGCTCATTTCTCTTGGTGTCTTCTTGACCCAAGCCTTGCCCTCCAGCTGAATGATGCCTCACAGTGGTTGTGTTTTGCACCTGGTGCTGGGAGTGGAGGGTGAGGGGTTCACTGAAATGGGGTTCACTCGCAAAAGCAATGTGGAAAAGACTGGAGGCCTTACTGCATCCTCAGAACAGCCTGTGGTGACCCAGCTCTGCTAAAGCACTGGCCCATCCACAGAGATACCATTACAGCCTGCAGAGCTCACCGAGGGCTCTCAGATGGCAGAGCTGCAGCCCTGCCCAGCAGCCAGAGTCCTCTGCCCAGTGTTCTTATGGATGACTGGAATCGAGAAGGGATTGGATACCATTGTTTGTCATAGCCCGCGTCTTGCCAACCACCTGCCTTCGTGAGAGGGACATGTGTACCGGACACACAGAGACGTCAGGGAGGGGACCCGGTCCCGCTCAAGGCCTTCTGCCAACCCAAGGCGGCCTGGGGGGAAGGAGAGGGCTATTGGGCCTGTGTCAGGCCCACCTCCACCCGACTGCTTGGGAGGTGGAAGGAGAGCAGGTGAGCAGTGTGTCCCGGGGGCAGGGCCTGCCTGGGCCTGTGTACTGTGTGAGAATAGGAAGCAGCAGGAACAAGAAAAACAGATACCCACACTGGACTTTGACGCTTGACCCAGCCAGCCACTGACCTATTAGTCTGAAGCTCTTTCCCTGA